TCGGTTGGGGTGGTCTGGTAGGTAGTCACTGGTCGCCGCCGCTCGCCGCCGCTGCCGCCCGCCGCCACTGCCGCCGATGGTGCGGTCGCCGCCGCTCGCCGCCGCCGCTCGCCGCCGCCGCTCGCCGCCGCCGCTCTCCCGCTTGCCCCGGCCTTGGGCAGGGGTGGGGCTGGGCATGCTGGGGTGACGGGACGGGGGAGAGGACATGCGGGGGAGGCGGAGGAGGGGCAACGATGGGGGAGGACGACGAGGAAGCAGGATTCGGATCAAGAGAAGTGGCCCGGGCTGGGGCGAGAGCGCCGAGGCAGTCGGCATGAGGCGGGGTCCTGGATGATCGCTTTCTTATTCATTGTTCTGCCGATCGGCGCGGGCCCTCGCACCCCCTCTCTCCCCAGTAGATCTTGGCTATTGTTGGCACCTGTTTCGGGCAGGTGGAGACCCCCCATAGGACGCAACTGTTGCAAACAGTGGCAGTAAGCAGAGGTCCAGAGCCAGACCCCCCCCCTCTGCGCAATGTCGAAACGCCGAATAAGAACACGTTCACCATCCCTGGCATCCTCTCGTGGTGGATGAGGAGTAGCGGCGGAGGGCTTTTGTCGTTTTTCTGCCCCCTGGAGCCCTCAGCGGGCCCCAGGGCCTTCAAAGAAGGACGCAAGACGAAAAGCTGGTCTTGGGGAAGGGGTCCAGGCTTCAGCAGAGCCACGTTGTGGAAACAATCACGACGTCGGATGTGTGGGATCGCGCGTATGTTTAACCGCTGACCGTTGAGAGGCAGACAGTGGCAGCACGCTTTTTACATACTAGTCTCTCGGCCTGCAACCGTGCCTGGGGCGTGGCGGCCCCACGTGCGTGGCAGCGTCCGTCGCGCGTCTTTTGAACCGCACATCATATCCGATGCGGGCGGTGGCAGCAGGCTTCGCGCATTTTGAGGAGGACCCCCCGCCCACAGCATGGACAAGGAACACGTCAGAGGTCCGGGAGAGCCAACATACATCCCCGTTACGAAAGTTAATTCATCTTGGCTGAAATTGGCATGTGTGGGCGCTGTGTTGAGAAGTGGTATGGGAGTGATTCTTCCTTGTGGTCTCATACGGGGAGAGATTCAGAGTTGCCTGGAAGTGACCGGGAGTGATTTCTCCCAAGTGAATTTACGGGGGAAAGATTTTATCCTGAATTGGTTGTATACTATTAATGTTACCAGGGAGAACCCCAGAAATCTCTCCCGCCGAGCCAGGCCGAATACTGCCGTGCTAGGAGTCTACGGGGGGAAGGGGGGCCACTCGGAGACGCCCTAGTCGTCAGTGCTCAAGATGAATAACTTTCGTAACGGGTAAGCGGTATCTTACATTGCACTTCTACAAGGGTGAGACCAGCGCTACCCTTGACAACGGCCGCCTTCTTTTTTTTTGTGCCACCACAACGCGCTCGCGCTGTGCCCAGCAGACACTTGGTGTCATGCGAGGCGACCGCAAGCACGCAGGATGCGACGTGTTGTCGAGAGCTGATGTGGGCCCATTGGATTTCGGAATTTGGGTTCTTCAGAATTGGCTGGACGTTGGGCCCTGGAAAAAATCGCGGGGTCCTCAGCGGTATCTTACATTGCACTTCTACAAGGGTGAGACCAGCGCTACCCCTTGACAACGGCGCCTTTGGCCACCACAACGCGCTCGCGCGTGCCCAGCAGACCCTTGGTGTCATGCGAGGCCGACCGCAAGCGCGCAGATGGCGACGTGTCTGTCGAGCGCGATGTTGGGCCCCATTCGGATTTCGAATTTGGGTTCCTCATGACATTGGCTGACGTTGACGTGTGAAAAAAAATCGCGGGTCCTCATCCCCGTTACGAAAGTTAATTCATCTTGGCTGAAATTAACATGTGTGGGCGCTGTGTTGAGAAGTGGTATGGGAGTGATTCTTCCTTGTGGTCTCATACGGGGAGAGATTCAGAGTTGCCTGGAAGTGACCGGGAGTGATTTCTCCCGAGTGAATTTACGGGGGAAAGATTTTATCCTGAATTGGTTATATACTATTAATGTTACCGGGGGGAACCCCGGAAATCTCCCCCGCCGAGCCAGGCCGAAGACTGCCGTGCTAGGAGTCTACGGGGGGAAGGGGGGCCACTCGGAGACGCCCTAGTCGTCAGTGCTCAAGATGAATAACTTTCGTAACGGGTAAGCGGTATCTTACATTGCACTTCTACAAGGGTGAGACCATCGCTACCCCTTGACAACGGCGCCTTTGGCCACCACAACGCGCTCGCGCGTGCCCAGCAGACCCTTGGTGTCATGCGAGGCCGACCGCAAGCACGCAGATGGCGACGTGTCTGTCGAGCGCGATGCTGGGCCCCATTCGGATTTCGAATTTGGGTTCCTCATGACATTGGCTGACGTTGACGTGTGAAAAAAATCGCGGGTCCTCATCCCCGTTGCGAAAGTTAATTCATCTTGGCTGAAATTAACATGTGTGGGCGCTGTGTTGAGAAGTGGTATGGGAGTGATTCTTCCTTGTGGTCTCATGCGGGGAGAGATTCAGAGTTGCCTGGAAGTGACCGGGAGTGATTTCCCCCGAGTGAATTTACGGGGGAAAGATTTTATCCTGAATTGGTTATATACTATTAATGTTACCAGGGGGAACCCCGGAAATCTCTCCCGCCGAGCCAGGCCGAAGACTGCCGTGCTAGGAGTCTACGGGGGGAAGGGGGGCCACTCGGAGACGCCCTAGTCGTCAGTGCTCAAGATGAATAACTTTCGTAACGGGTAAGTAGTGCACAAACATCAATTTTTGGATGCCCGCGCGGATATCTTGGGGCGGCGCTGGGCCCCCCTCACCACAGCCGTTTGCGGAGCGGGACCGGGGGCGAGGAGGGTATGCCTGGCGACGATCAAAGACACCTTTGTCGACCTCCGACAGTTTGTTGTCACGCAGCTCTTATGTGTTTTGTTGTATGCGGGATGTTCTGCTGCCCGTAACATGGAGGGAAACAGCGGGATTTGGGTCCTCTTGCTGCTCTTCCTCCTATCAAAATCGCTCCACGGACCTGTTGGTGCGTGTTCTGCTCTGACAGCAAGATTTCGAGGCGGATCCAGCCGTGGGCGGGAGACCCGAGAAGGCAAGACAACGCAGTCCGAAAGCGCCTCAAAACCTCGACCCTCGATCCTCGAACCCCGATTCCCGACGACGACGGCGGAGGGGGCGACGGGAAGGCCGATAGCGATGACGACGACGTCGACGGCGATGTCCACGGCGACAGCGACGACGCTCATGCCGACGACGTCAACAGCGACGGCGATGGCGACGACGATCATGACGACGACGTCGAGGGCGACGGCGACGGCGCGGCGTCGACGGCGATGGCGACGACGACGGGGCTGGCGGCGGCGGCGGCGGGGACGATGGCGGCGGCGGCGGGGCGAGGTGGTCGACCGCATGCTGGCCCAGATCTTCGGGCAGGGCAGGGGCGCAGTACGCTACAGCCTCCAGGACGGCTGCGGGGGCGCACGGGTGTGCCTCCCCTCGGGCGGCGAGGGCCTGCACACAGATCCACGGCTCCCTGGGCGGGCCCACCCTGGTACCATGGGGCCGTGCAGGCGCCCTCCCGGGCGTGGCGTGCGCGCCGCTGCTGGGGGCTCATGAGGGGCCTGGCCGGGGAGCGGTGGATGCGCACAGCTTCTGTCGCCCCGCCTCGCTCCCCTCCCCATCGTCCTCGTTTTGAAGAGACAGCGCCCCGCGTTCGCTCCTCTCGCTGCCCCCTCCCCCCTCATCTCCCATCCGTGCCTCTCCTCCCATCCCTGCCTCTGTTCTCCGCGTGACCATTTCGGCACACCCCTCACACGGTTCGTGGCCCCATACGGAGCTCCACCGAAGGCCCTAGTGGCATGGTCCGCTTGGCACCTCCGCCCCATTTCGGCAGACCCCTCGCACGGGTCGTGGCCCCATAGGGAGCTCAACCGAAGGCCCCAGTGGCATGGTCCGCATGGCACCGCCGCCCCATTTCGGCAGACCCTTCACGCGTTTCGGGGCCCCATAGGGAGCCCCACCGAAGGCCCCCGCGGCAGGGTCCGCATGGCACCGCCGCCACATTTCGGCACACCCCTCACACGGTTCGTGGCCCCATAGGGAGCTCCACCGAAGGCCCCAGAGGCATGGTCCGCATGGCACCGCCGCCCCATTTCGGCAGACCCCTCACACAGTTCGTGTCCCCACAGGGAGCCCCACCGAAGGCCCCAGTGGCAGGGTCCGAATGGCATTTCCTCCCCATTTCGGCACATGCATCACGCGGTTCGTGGTTCCATCGGGAGCTCCACCGAAGGCCCCGGTGGCATGGTCCGCATGGCACCGCCGCCCCATCTCGGCAGACCCTTCACACGGTTTGTGGCTCCATAGGGAGCTCAACCGAAGGCCTCAGTGGCAGGGTCCGCATGGCTCCGCCGCTCCATTTCGGCACACCCCTCACACGGTCGTAGGCCCCAGTGCCACCGTCCACGTGCGTCCCCCCCACCCACTTCGGCACACTCCTCACACGGTTTGTGGCCCCATCGGGAGTTCCACCGAAGATGGTTTTCACATTTTCGTTATTCGCAACTACATATGGTTGGTTCTTTCGCCAGGCTTATTGTTGGTTTTGTTGGTTCTCTCTCTCTCTCTCTCTTCCTCTCTCTCTCTCTTTCTCCCACGTGGCGCAGGCGTGGCCCAGCCCCCGTCCCCTCCGCCCCCTCTCTTTACATTCGTGACGTCTGCAGGGGCCAAGGGAGCGGGGCAGACGACCCTACCCTCTCTGCTCTCTTCCTGTGCCCCCTCCCTCACGCTCCCTCTGTCGCTCCAAATGCACTCAATATGAATTCGTACCACTCTCCGCTCTCCCCTGACTCTGTCCGGAAGATGCTCCGCCTTCTCTGCGCATTGTTTTTGCTTTTTGTTGTTTATATGTTGTTTTATTTCTTTGTTCTTTGTTTGATTGCTTTTTTTTAATATTTTTTTTTTTGTTTGTTGGATGTTTGTAGATTTGTGTTTTTATTGTGTCTTTATCTGATATGTTGTTTTTGATTTGTATGTATTTTGTTGTGTTGTTTTCTTATTTGTTTGTTGTTTTTGATTGTGCTTGTGACTCTGTTTTTTTTTTCTTACTCCCAGCAGTCGTTTCGGTATTTGTTTTTTTTGGTTTTTTGTCTTGAATTATTTTATTGTATTGGTATTGTTGTTTTTGCTGTTGCACAGTATTAGACGCTCGTTTTGTTTCTTCTAATGTGTTCTTTGGGTCGCAAGTCATGGGAGCCTGGTATACCTCCGAATTCCGTCTTTAGCGTCGATTAGCGTCGATTAGCGTTTGTGAGTCGATGATATAGCGCCGATTTAGCGTAGGCTAGCGTCGACTAGCGTCTATTAGCGTCGATTAAGCGTCGATTAGCGTCGATTCGCAAGAGCCGACAAGATGATTCTGGAGGCTCCCATGCGTTGCCACCGAAGGTTCCCCTACTCCTCCCGCTCCCTGCTGCTACTGTTCGTCCTCGTCCTCATCCTTCCTCATCGTCTCTCCTTTCCTCGGGCTCATCCTCCTGCTCATTCGCCATGTCCCTCTCCTATGTCTGCAGCTTCTTTCTTCCACTTGCGCACGCTCTTGATGCTCCTGTTGCTGCTGCTGCTGTTCCTCCTCCTCCTCCTCCTCCTCCTCCTCCTCCTCCTCCTCCTCCTCTTCCTCCTCCATCACATACCCTCCTGACCCCTCACTCCTCCTCCTCCTCCTCCTCCTCCTTCTCCTCCTGCTTGCTCCGTCTCCTCGTCTTCCTCCTCATCCTCCTGTTCATTCGCCACCTCCTTCTCCTCCTTTCCCTGTTCCACTGTTTACCGCTCCCTTGTCGGATTGCGCGCGGCACGGCCATTTTCTTGGTTCCAGGTCCGCGAAGACACTCGTCGGCAGATAGAGAACACTTGGCGCACTCGGCAAGGATGGATGGGCGGGGTAGGGCGTCAGACTTGGCACGAGCGGACACAGCTTGCCCCCCCCGTCTGTCCTCCTCCTCCTCCTCTTCCTCGTCCTGCTCCACCATCACATCCCCTCCTTCCTCCTCCTCCTCCTCCTGCTTGCTCCTTCTCCTCGTCTTGATCCTCCGCCGCCGCCCGTCTTCGTCTTCCTCTTCGTCGTCGTCGTCGTCGTCGTCGTTGTCGTCCTCATCTTCGTCGTCGTCGTCGTTGTTGTCCTCGTCTTCGTCGTCGTCGTCGTCGTTGTCGTCGTCGTTGTTGTCCTCGTCGTCGTCGTTGTTGTCATCGTCGTCGTCGTCGTCGTCGTCGAGCTTGTCCTGCCTCTGCCTCTGCAGGCCCCGGCCCCCCCAGGGAACTCCAGAGGCCCTCGGAGAGGCCTCGGATCCCGGCGTCGCGACAGGACAGTCTCTGGCCGACCAGGGGCGTCAACAGAACTGGCAGTGTGCAAAAAGTTGGCCCACAAGCCAGGTTCCAGAAGTCCAGTGACCTCTTCTCGTGAGCGTACTTTGCCCTCTCTCCGCCGGTCGTGCCCGGCGAGTTCTACCGCCAGTTTGTTGCACTGGCTCACGTTCTTGGCCTAGCTCGTCTGTCCACCTCGCGAAACAGACTGACATCGGATGTCCAGGGGGGGGGGTGGGGGGGCGTCTTGTCGGACCTGGAATGCCTTCGCTGCCACGGCAGGGCTCTACCGTGGAGTTTTCAGGGTGTTTGGTGAGCGGGGTAACGTATCTTTCCTCCTGCTCATCTCCCCCTTCTTCTCTTCCTCCCTCCTCTCATCCCCTCCATCCTTATCCCCCCACACCCCCTTCCCTCCCATCTCCCCATCCTCCCCCATCACCTCCCGCTTGCTCGGGCAGACGCTGAAGGAAGCCCACGCCGGTTCCGTATACAGTTGAGCTCTGTGCCTCCTTTCTCGTTGAGAGCAACCGCGGAGGCAGCGGCGGTTGTCCCACGCTCTCGCGAGAGCGCGAAGATAGCCGCGTCGTAGACAACCGCGCTGCATCGTGCAGCGCGAGGTGCGGGGTTGGGCGACCTTGGTATCGAGTGGATGCCAGGGGGCTCCTGACAATGGCCCCCCCCGGCTTAGGACTCGGACGTGTTCGAGACGGAGGACGACTCCGCCTCGTATCCAGGCGTCGCGGGGGGGCGCGGCTGATGTTTGAGAGAGGCGAGGGTGTTATCTTGCCCTCCTGCGGCTCCTCAGCTGTCTTCCCCTTCTCCTGGAGAAAGGCCTGCGGAGCCTGTCCGAGGGCGGGGGGGTGATGACGGTGGCGAGGACGAGGGTGAGGAGGAGGAGGAGGAGGAGGAGGAGGAGAAAAGGGAGTAGGATGATGAGGGGTGAGGAGGAGGCGGAGGAGGAGGCTGAAGGCTGAAGGCTGAAGGCTGAAGGCTGAAGGCTGAAGGCTGAAGGCATGGAGTGCGGTCCCAGCCGCGGCCCTTGCGCTCTCGCGGCGCGTGCCGCCTCGGCTCTACCCACCAGCTCATCCAGGCCTCCGGCTAGCATTACGTCGGGCATGAGCCTCTACCAGGAGGAGTATTCAAGACTAGTAACAAATAGTATGGGGACGATTTCCCGATTGTATTGTGTAAACACATGTTTGACTACTGTTTAGTTTTCTTGCAACATGTGCCTGTAGGAGGATCTGCCCGACCTGAGGCTAGCGACCCCAGGTCCCCGAGCCGAGTCCGAGCCTGGCGGCGCAGGAGCCCAACGGCGCGGTGGCTCGATTGGGGAAGGCCTTGCGGCCGATGCCGCCGACCCCGACGGGGGACGACGACGACGGCGACAGTGACGGCGACGACGACGACGCTGATGCTCTGGAGATGCCTCCGACCCTGAAGGGGGACGACGACGACGGCGACGGCGACGGCGACGACGGCGGCGACGACGACGACCGGCCTCGGGCGAGCGCCCACAGCTCCCCGAGCCGGGCCCAAGCGCTGCGAGGCAGGAGCCCCACAGCGCGGCGGCTCGATATTTTCTGGGGCCGCCAGGGGTCCGTGCAGGTCGGCTCGCGCCCACGAAGATCCATCCACGCTCGTCTGCTGGCGCGGCCGCGCGCGCGGCGGCCAGGCGTGAGAACAGTGTACCGCAAGGAGCTCGTGAAGGCGCGGGCCGTCGTCGTCTCCGCCGCTGCGATGCCGCCGCCTCCGCCGCCGCCGCCGTTGTCGTCGTCGTCGTCGTCGCCGCCGTCGCCGTCGCCGTCGCCGTCGCCGTCGTCCTGCTCCTCCTTCCCAAACCTCCCTCTGGCCCTCCTCCGCTCCTCCTCCTCCTCCACCTCAGCATCGTTTCGGCTCCGGCCCCCGGCGGCACCGGCCCGCGCCCTCGGGCCCCGCGGGCTGCCGCCGCCCGGGCCCACCACATGGAGGCCCGGAGGCCCGACCCGCTGCGGGTGGGCAGCCGCGTCTTCATCTACGGCCTGACCTCCCCGGCCGGCAGGAGCATGAATTTCCGAGCCGGCAGGGTGGCGAGGATGCCGGAGGCGGGCCACGCGCAAGAGTGAGCCTTCGCCGGAGTGGCCTCTGGTGCGGGCCCAAATCGGGTAAAGCCAGGACCCTGGGCGAGGGGACCCGGTTAGTAGGAGGGCCCCGGAGCCCCTGAATTAGCCAGAATCACTAAACCAGGTCTGCCGTAGCTGGTGTTTCTTTTGTGTGTGTGTATATATATAAAGAAACCGCGCCCAGACGGCGCATTGGCAAGCTAAATAACAGCACATGCGATCAGGAAAAATGCAGGGCAGGAGCGTGCAAGCGCTCGGGCATCGCCGTGCCTCGGATTGCAATGCACAGGCATGCCGGTGCAGCGCGAGGGTGGACGGCAAAGCACCGGCCAGGGGGGGGGGGAAAGGAGGGGGGGAGGGAGGAGAGAGGAGGGGAGGAGAGGTGGTTCGTTTGGGTGACGGCAAATTCCGGTTAGTGGAACGGGGCGGGGGGGGCGTCCCCCAGTACACATCATTTAACCAGGTCCCACTAAACCCAGTTCTGCCAAGGCCCGACCACAGGGGCCCCCCAATCGCCAAAGGTCGCCGAGCGCGGGGCGATAGCGGCGGCTTGCGCGCCTGTGTTTGGCCCCCCGGCGGCCCCCGCTGGGCCGCGCACCAGAGGTCACTCTTTTGCCCATGGCCTCTCCTTGCGTGCCGCCGAGGAGGGCAGCGACCGCTTCGGGGTCGTCCTGCTCCAGGACGGGGCGAAGGCCGCGCCCCGGGCCCTGAAGCGCATGATGGGGGGAGAGACACGACGGCCACGACCAAGACGTGGCGGGAGCATGTCTACGCTGGTCCTGGCCATGGTCCGTGCTGGCCGTCGCCGATTCGCCAGGATGATCCACGAATGGACGGTGGTCGAGACCGACAGGGACAAAGATCGGCACCGACGCTTCCGCGTTCAGTCTTGATCATGGCTGCCGCTTTCCCTCCCTCCACGCGTGAACCTGCTGAGCGCTGCGTCCCCGGGCGACCGCAGCCTCTTCCTCTGCCTGCAGACGCTGCACCACTCCCGGGAGATGCGGGTGGCGCGCCCAGCGCTGGGCAGGGCGCTCCACGACGACTGTGGCCTGCTGCTCCTGGTGTCGTTTTTTGTCACGCACCCGCGGACCTGCCTCTTCCAGTTCGGGGGGTACATTCGAAGAAGAACAAACTGCATAGACATAAACGTTCGGAGGCCCGCGCGAGCTTCTTGGATCTGCGCTGCAACCCCCTTTCGGCGCCTCCGGCGCCGCCCCTGGCGCGCCCCGCTCCGCGCGCCAGAGAGGGGCCCTCAGCGCCGATCCCAGAACTCCGCGCGGGCCTTCCAAAGTGTATGTCTACGCCGCTTTTTTCCTCTTCTGCACGTGGGCAAGGTGTGGGACGAGAACTGGTGCTTCAGCCACCCCGAGAGGCCCCTGGCGCTGAGCACCACGCCCGCCGCGCTGCCGAGGCTGGACTCGGCCTCCGCCGACATGGGGCTCGGGCGGGTGCTGTTCGCGGGGGGCTGCGGGCAGCACCCGCGGCGGTGCACCCGGGTCGAGGACTTCTTCAAGTCGGCCGAGGCGGGGCGGGCGGGGCGGGAAGCCTGCAGAGGGCGGCACACCCGGCCTCAGCTGGGCCCGTGCGAGGGTCCGCAGGAGTGGTTCGTTTCGTTCGCTCGTTCGCACGACTCGTTGGAGCGACTCGCATGCGGCCGACACGGAGCGTCGAGGGCTGGGCGATCTTTTCGTCGTTTCTGTTCCGTCTCGCATTCTTTGTTCCGTCTCGCGCTTCGCATGGGCTAGAGCCTTTCGGACTGAGTTTGAGAGGCAGCATTGCTTCAGCCCCAGGCAGCCTCGGTGTTGGTCTTGCTCGGAGGCTGGCGGCAGCGCGACGCAGCGACACAGAGACACCGGGAGACCGCGAGAGCACGATGCGATGACGCCGCGATGCTGCGAGGTGGAACACGTCTGCTCAACACCGGTCCACGGATTCTTCCCAGGTGCTGTGCTGGCCCTTCCCGCCTGCCCGCCCAGCCCCTTCTTCCGCCGACCCTGGCCTACCGCCATCGCGTTCGCCGTCGTCTGCTTGCTTCTTGTTCCCTTTCCCCCTCTGTCGCCTCGCAGCACAAACTTTCCGGTCGTTCCTAAAGTATAGCTTGTCATGCTGAGTAGAGAGGCCCTCGAAGGTCCAGAGGAGGGTGGAGGAGGAGGAGGAGGAGGAGGAGGAGGAGGAGAAGGAGGAGGAGGAGGAGGAGGAGGGAGGAGGAGGAGGGAGGATGGAGGTGTGGAGGAGGAGGAGGAGGAGGAGGATGAGGAGGAGGAGGAGGAGGAGGAGGAGGAGGGACGAGGCGAGGAGGAGGAGGAGGAGAAGGAGGAGGTGGAGGAGGTGGAGGAGGAGGAGGGGAGGAGGAGGGTGGAGGAGGAGGAGGAGGAGGGAGGAGGGGAGGAGGTAGGTGGAGGAGGACGAGGACGAGGAGGAGGGGGGAGGAGGAGGAGGAGGAGGAGGAGGAGAGGAGGAGACGGAGGATGAGACGAGGACGAGATGAGGGGCGAGGATGACGGAGGAGGAAGAGGAAGGACGAGGACGAGGAGGGCGAGGAGGAGGACGAGGAGGAGGGGGACGAGGAGGGCGAGAAGGACGAGGAGGACGTGGAGGACGAGGAGGCGAGAGGAGAGGAGGAAGAGGAGGAGGAGGAGGAGGAGGAAACGAAGAGGAGGGAAGAGGACGAGTGAGGAGGAGGAGAAAGAGGAGGAGGAGGAGAGGAGAAGGAGGAGGGATGGGGACGAGGAGGAGGAGGAAAGAGGAGGAGTGGAGGAGGAAGGAGGAGGAGGAGGAGGAGGAGGGAGGAGGAGGAGGAGGAGGAGGAGGGATGAGGAGGTGGACGACGACGACCCTGTGACACTACGATGCCACGACACTAACGGCGCGCCACCACAGCCTTCATCCCCCCCTCGCGAGCGCGCGTACGATCCCACGCGCGGGGGAGCTGGATGTTTTTGGCGGACTTTGGCTGTTTTCCCAACTATCCCGTGTTGGGCCTCGTTTTGAAGGATGATCACCTCGCGTCCCTTCCAACTCCTCCTCCCGCTGCCTCCCTTCCTCCCTCCTCCCATTCGGGCCTCTGCCCTCCGCATTTCGGCACAACCCCCACTCGTTTCGTAGCCCCAGAGGGAGCTCCACCGGAGGCCTCAGTGGCACAGTCCGCATGGCGTACCCGCATCCGATTCGGCATAATACCACGTTTCGTGGCCCTATAGAGAGCTCCACCGAAGGCCCCAGCGGCAGGGCTCGCGTGGCGCCCCCGCCCCCAATTTGGCATACCCCTCATGCGCCGCGTGGCCCCATAGAGAGCTCCACCGAAGGCCCCAGTGGCAGGGCTCGCGTGGCGCACCCGCCCCATAATTCGGCACACCTCTCACGCGCCGCGTGGCCCCATAGAGAGCTTCACCGAAGGCCCCAGCGGCACTCCGTAGCCATTTTGGCTCAAGACCCCATGCTTGGGAGGCTGCAAGCCTCCAGGCGAAAGCGGGATAGCTCTGTTTCCCGAGGTTGCGATTCATCTTTTGTGGTGCCAGGTCCGCCCCTGGTCATCACCTGCCTCCCTCAGCCCGAGGGTGCGCAGTCTTGTTCCGACTCAGTCTGGTCGCTTGGACCCTCTGGCTCTCATGGCGAAGTGCTGGCAGTGCGTGCGGTGCGGTGGTTCTACGCCACAGCATCTCTCATTCTGTATCAAGGCAGGCTGTAAGGGCAAGCAGACGGACCACAACGTGCCAGCAGCGAATGACAACCACAAGCCTTGGGGTAAGTGGGCAGTCGGCGGCGGCAATCCTAGAGCTCCCTGGACCAAGCAGGGACCCAAGGGCGGCGGCGGCAAAGGACGTGGTGGCAAAGGGCTCGGTCCTAACGGCGGAGGGCCTCCTGCTCCCACCCTCACGCTCTCGCCTGAGAAGATATGCGGCCTACGCAGCCATGGCCATGGACCGTGGAGTCGTATGAGATCGTCAAGGACGGACTTTCACGCAGCAGTCGAGACAGGGTCGAGCTGGCACGTCTGGTGTCTTGGGCCCGGAGGCACGGAAGCTCCCTCTGACAGTCGATCACGCATCGTTGGCCGTCGCCGACGCCACGGCCAAGCGGGAGCGCCTCTCTGAGAACTCCCCCAAGGATTTGGAGGCGCTGGCAGACGCGGATCGGGCCCTTGCTGAGCGCAAGGCGGAGCCCGAGCAGGCCAAAAAGTAGGCGGCGAAGCTCTACTCTTCCACCGCGGCTGAGGTCACGCTCCGCGCCGTCAAGGACAAGGTCGCCTCTATCGACACGGAGGGCAAGTCGGGCGCTGAGGTCCTGGCTAGCCTCGCCACGCTTCTGGGCGAGATGGCTGCTGCCACAGCCCCACCACCTCCCGAGCCAGAGCCTGCCCGCGCTGTGCCGGCCGCAGGTGGAGGTCCAGCCGCTTCTGGCGCAGGCGCCGGTCGTGGCGCAGCTGAGGCTGATGCTCCCATGGCAGGCGACCCAGGCGGCGACGATTTCGACAAGTTCATGGAGGGCGAGGGTCCTGAAAGGCTTCTCGGCAGCGCGGCGGATGCGAACGAGAGGAAGAGGCTCCAGGAGGCACTGGACACGCTCAGGGCCGCCAAGCGCTCCAAGTCCTCGGGGTAGCGGCCTCAGTGAGGCCATTGGTGGCAATCGTTCCTCTCTCGTGACCAGAACGGCGGATCTGCAAGGGCGTTCGTGGGTTGGCCTTGCGGTCAACTGCAATGCTTGGTCGAGGTTCGCCAACCTGCTTGGCACAGCCACTGTCAGGTGCTGCGACTTCGTTACCGTTCAGGAGACGCACTTAGATTCGCAGTGCACTCAAGACGTTCAAGGACAGCTTTGACGGCTAGGATGGGTCTCGGAAGCTGCGCCAGCGATCAACGCGGGTTTTGGCTCCCGGGGCACTGGGGGCCTCGTGCAGATGGCGCCCCGGCACCTCGGGCTCGGGCCGTTCGACCTGCTCGGCAAGCAGGCTGTGCTGGAGCCTGGTCGCGCCATCATCTCCCACCTCAACGGCGCCTGTAGAGGCGGCATCGCGTGGGTCAGCGTGTATCTGGAGGTCAGCGTCGGGCTCAACCAGAGCAATGCCGACGCCTTCTGCGCGGTGCTCAAGGCCTTGCAGGCGGCCAAGAGGCCTTTCATCGTGTGCGGGGACTTCAACGTGGAGCCGTCGGTCTTGGAAGCGTCCGGCTGGCTAGAGGCGGCGCAGGGGGTTGTTTGTTGCGCCCGCGGAGGCCACGTGCAGACCTGCAGGCAGGATCATCGATTACTTCGTGGTCTCGAGGCCCTTCCGCGGGGCCAAGGCCAGCGTTGTCCACGGGCTGGACCTCAGCCCGCGCTATCCAGTTGCGCTCGAGCTGCTCGGCCCGAGCAAGCATCAGAAGGTCACCGTCGCGCGTGCGGCCGAGCGGCTGCCGCTGCCCAGGCCGCTGGCCTGCTGCGCGCAGGATCATGGCCTAGCTTGGCGTGCAGCTCGCGACCAGCTCGAGCGCATGACCGACCTGAACAGCATGTGGAAGGCTTTCGTCAAGCAGGTGGAGGTCAACATGATTGACGCGCGCGGGCTCATCCGTGAGCTCGACAGGTATTCAGGCCGCGCGGACCGGCCCAGGCTTTCAGCCACCTCAGCCACGGCGCCGTCGCCGCCTAGGCTGCCGCGCGTCACTCGAGCTTCGACCTGGTGCAGGGCGGTTGCTATCTGTCTCCGAGACGCAGCGCAGATCGAGCGGCCGCTCACCAGGTTCGAAGCCCTGCGCGCCTTGGGAAGGCTGGCTAGCAGGCCGCCGTCTGATCTCACAGAGCTGCAGGGCGTGGTCAGCATCATTGCCAGCGGCGCGCAGGATTTCCCCCCCGGCCAGCTTGATGGGCTCAGTGTGGCGTGTTTCAGCTGGTCTGAGGCAATGGTAAAGACGGATCTCGATCAAGCCTCCAAGAACTGCAACGACTAACTGGGCGCTTCACTCCGTCGCCACGGGTTCAGGCGGCATCCATGCTGTCACGAAGACGGCTCAGTCTTGGAATGCGAAGCCAGCCAACACAGTTGGCGTGGCGCCGCTCACCATTCATCAGAGCCTGCAGGCGCTGGTCGGCGAGTGGTCTACTTATTGCGACGTCGTCGTCCCCCCCCCAGGCTCTGCCAGTCCAGGCTGCAGGTGGTGGTGTGCAAGAGACAGAGCCAGACGTTGATGCAGTTGCGAAAGCCCCGAGGGGGCCCGAGCCCGAGAGGCGCCGTCTGCCCTGGCCTGAGGACCTCGGAGAGCGCCCCGATAGACTTTCTGTGGCCGAACTGCGGAAAGTGATTTCGTCGTTCAAGCCTCAATCTGGCCCAACTTTGGCCGCGTCCGTCCAAGTGAATTCAATCTGATGGATGACCTGGACATCGAGGCGCTCATTGATTTGCCGATGGCAATTGAGCAGCAAACAGATTTGCACCGAGATGGCCTTCATTCCCAAGGCAGATGGAGGCCTTCGACCCATCGCGCTGTCGCAGCTGTGGTCAGAGTTCACGGCAGGCTTCGCAGACCCATCATGCAGCAGTGGGGGGGGG